ATTTTTAAAGACACACAGACATCAAAAATTAGCCTGTAAATCTCAACAATGGTAACAATTATAAAGCATGTTGCATTGCATTCTGGGTGCCACCAATGAAAACTCATTCATGGCTCCCATCATGCATTGCTACATGAATAAATAATGAGCTTATGTTCAGATGTGATCTGTTTGTCACCATTGCTGAGATTTATATACTAATTCTTGATGTCTGTGTGTGCCTACATAATATATATATATATATATATATATATATACATATGCACAATATTTTATATCGTTTCTCATTTAAAAGGCTAAAAATGTTATGTTCTAAAATGACCGTGCTGCTAAAATCCTTAAAGTAAATTTAACTCAGAATTTATGTTCTTGATGAGTTCAGCAATTCAGGTCAAATAATGATTATGTTAGAACACAACCAACACCATCAGATCACCTTTTCTAGTTGTTAATCTGACTGTTATAAGTCACATAGAGCAGCCAAACAAAATCTAAAGTTAATGAATCAAGGGTCAAAAGCCCAACTAAAGAAAATACTGATCTCCATAATGGTGACTTAAAATTTTCGTTTTTCTCCTTCAGAGATTCTGCTTGTTAACATCAGGTGTTTTCAATAATGCTCAATCATCACTCAATTATTCACTTAATTATCTCATTAACTTTAACACTGGTTCATACTCTGCTCAGAGTTTATATAATTCACACTTTTAAAGTGTTAATTTAAACTCTCAGTGTTAATTTAACAATGGGGATTTTGCTGTGTACACACATTTAATTTTTCTATTGTTTCAAAGACAGTCAATGCTTTGCTTCTTGATTTGTCTAAATATCTAATAAAATCAGGAAATAAAATCTATTTTATGTTTTGAGTATTTGTGGGGTGAAAGGTGGTGATGATGATTATAAATCCAGCAGTTAAACTATCCACAATCCATTATTGTTAAGAAGTGCAAATAATGCCGCGTTCCAGGCAACCTGTAACTCGTGTTTTTCCAACCTTATACCAGTGAAAGTGCACTGGAACGGCAGTCAAACGTGTGACTTCCCACCCGTGAACTCGTACTAGATCGATGTACTCCCAGTTACGAGTTCTGACGTCACATAGCCCGCGAACCTATACAAAACTACAATGACAGCCGGCGAGCACGGTGAGAATACACTAGTTTAGGACAACATAATGTTAACTAGTTTTCAGTCCATTGAGTGCAAGGATAAATTAATACCAAATACATTTCCAAATATACAAATAAAATAAAATAAAAGGTATAACAGCTTATCGTGCCTCATGCACTATTTTTCCTCCTCACTTTTCCACAAATAAACAAGGAGTAAGCACCTTTGGCGTTAGAAATTATTACAAATGCGTGTGAGCCCCGTAAGGTCCGCCATGCTGGTTTGTTTACATCTAGGTAGTTTGGCGTGAATGACCTGGAATGCTACAAAGTCTCAAAACATGCCTTGAACGCAGCATAAGCTCCTTTCTTTCTCCCCACTTCTTCATCTATGAAGAGTTCCTCATTCCAGGAATGCCAACTCAGCAATTATTAATCTAGATTTAGCAACTTATCAGACTATAGACCATTTCACAAGATGTAAACAACACTGGTCTAGAAACACTTCCTGTTTCAGTTTGTAACTGTTTTCTTTATTTCACATGTAAAGAAAACGTCTTAAAGATGTTTGTTTAACTTTTTGATTCAGTTTTAAATGTTCTGTAGGTTGTATTTTATCCCAGCTTTTATATACTGTTAAAAAACTGAAACAGGAGTGCTTCTGGACCAGTGTTGTTTACATCTTGTGAAATGGTCTATATAGCAACTTCTTTTTCCCCAAAAGCCCCTAGCAATCAATGTTTAAAATGTATGATTTGAAACCAGTGGTGTAAAGTAATGAAAATACAAATAATTTGTTACTGTACTTGCTTATTTCAAATATTTGTGGGGTGAAAGATGGTGACGATTATATATCCAGCAGTTATACTATCCACAATCCACATTATTGTTAAGCTGTAAACAATCAGTGAAAGACTAGCTCCATGGATGCAAAAAAATAAATAAATAAATAATAATAATATATATATATATATATATATATATATACACACACTCACCTAAAGGATTATTAGGAACACCGTACTAATACTGTGTTTGACCCCCTTTCACCTTCAGAACTGCCTTAATTCTATGTGGCATTGATTCAACAAGGTGCTGAAAGCATTCTTTAGAAATGTTGGCCCCTATTGATAGGATAGCATCTTGCAGTTGATGGAGATTTGTGGGATGCACATCCAGGGCACGAAGCTCCCGTTCCACCACATCCCAAAGATGCTCTATTGGATTGAGATCTGGTGACTGTGGGGCCATTTTAGTACAGTGAACTCATTGTCATGTTCAAGAAACCAATTTGAAATGATTCCAGCTTTGTGACATATGGTGCATTATCCTGCTGGAATATATATATATATATATATGAAGAGTTCAGATGCAAAAGCCTCTAAGTGCCATTTGAAATTTTCTTCTAGAATGATCATTTTTATCAAGATTGTATATTTAAGTTCATTGATTTCACTTAAATGGCAATGATAATTACCTATTAATTGTTATTTAAGTGAAATTACTGAACTTAAATATACAAGTTTGATAAAAATCATCATTAAAGAAGAAAATTTCAAATGGCATTTAGAAGCTTTTGCATCTGAACTCTTCATATATATATATATATATATTAAACTGTGTACAGTGGCATTACATTATTCCCACTTTTAAAACATTTTCACATTTAAAAGTGTAAAAGCATCAACAAGGTACTTTCAAATGACCACGAATAACCCCAAAAGCGTGAATCTTTACTTTTAATTTTTGCAATTCCGATATGGTTAAATATCACTGTGGTAATCTGTATTATATAACATATGTTGCCTTAATAAAATATAAATATATATATATATATATATATATATACACACACTTCAGCATTGCGTTATACTATTTCAAAGTGATTTCAGTCATTTTGACAGATAATAAAGTGTATTTACCTGTGAAAACAAACCTGGAAAGAGACATGAGCGTTTGATTTATATATATATATATATATATATATCGTGATGTCATGAAAGGCAACGCATATCTCAGCGGGACAGTTCAAGTAGTGCAAGGACACAAAGTTCAAGTGCAAACAAGGATTTTATTCAGTTCTTTGGGAAAAATCAGAAATATTATTCCCAACTCAAAAAGTGTAACTAAGGATCAGGTCGGTCTTCAACAGTCAAAACTTAAAGGATGCCTCTGAGGGTGGAATCATAATCTTGTTTCCCTCAGGAACGTAAACTTTCAAAGTCTTTTCCAACCTTACATCAGTCCGTGGCAAAGCCAGCTGTACGTCTTCCAAATGTCTGGTGAGTATTTTCCAACCTTCAGTATTCCTTGTGGAAACAATCCTGGCGTGGTCTTGGTTCTCCACAGAGAGCACAACCTGAAGCTTGACTCCCCCAAACCTCACACACCCCGTCACTGTCTCTCTAACCCTTAAAGGATTAGTTCACTTTTGAAAAAACTTTTGCTGATAATTTACTCACCCCCATGTCATCCAAGATGTCCATGTCTTTCTTTCCTCAGTCGAAAAGAAATTAAGGTTTTTGATGAAAACATTCCAGGATTTTTCTCCATATAATGGACTTCAATGGGAACCGGATGGTTCAGGGTCCAAAAGACAGTTAATAACAGTTTCAGATGCAGCTTCAAATGTCTTTAAACGATATCAGACGATGAATAAGGGTCTTATCATGCGAAACGATCGGTTATTTCAAAGCTTATTCCAAAAATGTAACTTTTCTAAGGACAAATGCTAGCCTTGCTCTATTCTGTGAGGCGCGTTTGTAACGTCACGTAATACGTAATTACGTTCAAAAGGTCACGGGCGACGTAGCCGAAAGTACAGAGTCAGTGTTTACAAGTTGAACGCATAGGTTGAACGTGAAAACTAACTCAAACGCCGTTTACAAAAAAAGGAATTAAAAGGAAAAACAACGATGTCGGACGATTTTGATTCTGTACTTCCGGCTACGTCGCCCGTGACCTTTTGAACGTAATTACGTATTACGTGACGTTACAAACGCGCCTCAGAGAATACAGCAAGGCTAGCATTTGTCCTTATAAAAGTTACATTTTTGGAATAAGTTTTGAAATAACCGATCGTTTCGCATGATAAGACCCTTATTCATCGTCTGGTGTCGTTTAAAGACATTTGAAGCTGCATCTGAAACTGTTATTAACCGTCTTTTGATACTTGAACCATCCGGTTCCCATTGAAGTCCATTATATGGAGAAAAATCCTGGAATGTTTTCATCAAAAACCTAAATTTCTTTTCGACTGAGGAAAGAAAGACATGGACATCTTGGATGACATGGGGGTGAGTAAATTATCAGCAAAAGTTTTTTCAAAAGTGAACTACTCCTTTAAGTAGGCCTTCAGCTCATCAGACCTTGATCAGTCTCAGGTGTGCAGGAACTTTGTGTATTGAGGGGTGGAGTTCCCGCCATCACCAGCAGATGGAGCCACAGCTGTTTGTGGTTGCAGCCACCTCAGGGAAATGTAGCGCCCTTCCAGGACACAGCCATATATATATATATATTAATTTGACTGCATTTTTGTCAATTTCTAAATGTTTACATTTTGATTTTTGAATTATAACAGACTGATGGGAAAAGAAAAACATTATTTTTCTGTTATTTTTTTAATGTGGTTTTATTATTATTTAACAATTGCTTGTTTTTCTTATTGTAATTTATATATAAACATTTAACTTTTAAAACTAAGGTTTTACAACAACATCACTGTTATCATCTTCTGTTATGTGTGGGCCTCCACGCTCATCGATATTGCTGAGGGTTGGTGTGTCAATATGTCAATATCCGTATGTTCTCAGTGGCCCTGAATCCTCTAGCTACGGCCCTGTGTGTAGGCGTGGTCTCTATTGCAACACTATATAAACCCGTGTGAGGAAACATTGAGTGCACTGAGGCTTGAGTTTGAGACGTGCTACAACCACTTTGTTTGTGATTGGGTTCAGGTGAAGATGCATCTGTTCGTCTCCGCCGTGTTGCTGGTGTTGTGCTCTCCCTTCATCGTGACTGAAGTTGTTGATTCATTCAACAAATGCAGCAGTATGTTTTTTAAAGAAGAGTCTCCCGTTATTGATGGCATTCTGGATCATTCAACCTCGCTGGATAATAACCGCTACAAACTAATCTGTCAGAAGTATGAGGGCGAATACAGATATGCAACTCTGTATGACATATCAGCGAAGATCCCTCTGTTCTCCGCTTACAAATTTACTGCGGTTAATAAAAAAACCCCACATATTCCATGGATGATCGAGCCGCAGGTAATGTTTCTCATGGTGGATTGTTACAGTAATAATTGATTATTGATCATATTTTACTTTTCTAGTCATAATAGTTTCATTTCGTTTAGTTCTCTGAGAGTGTTAAGGACTTTACATCTCTTTCTCTTTGTTCATTTCCTCTTCTGTAGCTTAACCCTTTAGATGGCTCGATGGCTGATCCAGGAGAAAATCAGGCTGTAGACCGAGACTACTGGGATCAGGAACAAGACGAATGGGACCGTGGCCACTTATTTCCCAACGGCCACGCACCTGATGAAATCACTGCCGAATCCACATACACACTGACCAATACTGTGCCACAGCATACTAAATTTAATAAGGGTAGTTGGAGAAGTATGGAGCAAAGTGTTAGAAGTTTCATGGAGACTAAATGCCGTGACGAAAATAACCATGAAGATATCTTGGCGTATGTGCTGACCGGAGCCGTGCCTGGCGACAAACGCTTGAATAACAGAGTTAACATTCCCTCACACATGTGGACCGTATTCTGCTGCTTTAATCCTAAAACGAACGATTGGGAATCCAAGGCTCACTGGGCTGAAAACAAAGATGAGAAAAAAAACCCAATCCCAATCCCTGATAAAACACTGGAGAAATTAGAAGAATTTCTCGGGAACAAATTTAAACAGTCCTCACTCTTCAGCCAAGACTGTAACCAGTTTAGTCATCAAAGATTATCATCTAAACCCACGGTGCTTGAGTCAATTCCAGCTTCATTTTGTTAGCAGCTAAATGATCCCTATAATAATGCTCAGCTAAGCTTGTCTAAATTTGAAGGCATGAAAGGATAACGGTAACAGATTTCTGATCCTGTTGTTTCTCTGACTATATATGTACTGCAAAACAAATAAATGCTTTCAAAATAAAATGCTATAATCAAAATGAGTCTTACTGTCATTGATTTTGGCTTAACTGAACTGAACTGATGTTTGGTTATTTTTGCTGCCAACTCTGAAATACTGACTGGATGATGCTTTGTTCAAGCTTTATGTATCTCACAAATGAAAAACTACTGTACAACTTAATCCTGGTGCTCATATCAGCACTCAAAAACTCACACTCAGTACAATACTTCATTTTTTTTCTATTTATTTTTAAACTTTACAGTTCATTTGAATAGTTTAAAAAACACCCAATAGATGTCATTCTAACTCCCTTAAAACATGCACGAATTTGTTTGACCGTTTGACAAAAGCACAATGTTGTGTTTTATTGCGAGTGTAAATAAATATAAGTTAACAATGTCC